TGAGTATATCTTGAATGATTATTCACTACAAAAAACTTGACTTTTTGTGGCACTAGATTTTGCCATAAAACATCTAAAATTAGCCACAATAAGAATTTGAAGCAATTTGAAAATTTGCCACAAGGTTGCCACAAATACCCCGTTACAAAAGGTATTTGTAGCAAATTAAAATTTGCCACAAAAAATATGGATTTTGTGGCAAATTTTTATTTGCCACAAATGAAATTTTGCTACAAAAAACTCATGTTTAGTAGCAAATTAGATTTGCTACAAATAATACTTTGCCACAAAAACTAATGTTTAGTAACAAAAAGAGTTTGCCACAGATAACACATTGTCACAAAAACTCATGTTTAGTAGCAAATTTTAATTGCTACAATTATTAATCTATTGTGGCAAACTGAATGCTAGTGATAATTTATATTGTTTTCAACATTTGTTTTCATATTAATATTTTTATAGAGAGAAAATGGAGCTTTTATTAAACCAAGAAATAAAGATCAGATTACAAGTAGGCCTCTTAGTTAGTGCCTCAAATCAGTGAAATAATAAGAGCTCAGAGTAAGTTATACAAGCACTAAAGAAAATTACACATGTCCTATCTAAAATGTTGTTAAGCCCAAGCTACATTCGTCCATGTACATGCTTTATCCATGTTTTCTTCAAATGAGCCTTGCACCATATTTACATTTGTATAAAGATGACTCCATAAAGCAAGTGTGGAAAACACCAAGAACAGCTAATTGCACCTAACAAAAAAAAACAAACCATATTTAAGGAACTATGACTACAGGCTTGTGTGGTTAGTAAGTTGAATGTTAAAAAATTCAGAGGAATTTTTGTGTGTGCAGATTAAAAGAAGATACATGATAATTATGACTATGAATAATGAAATAAATATGATAAATCAATGTTAAGACTATCTAGAAGAACTATAAGATTGACTTCACGTGATTGATATATATCATTCATCTCCCGTAGTTTACATGATTGACATGCAATCTCTAACCATGATTTTCTTTTATTTATCGCATCTCATTTATAGCTTAGTTCACTTTCTTTGGATTTGCTTCCCTTCTCTCGTCATTTCTGTCATCCCCTCATTTTGGCCTTGATTCTCATTTACAATATGATATTAGTGTTTAGTTACACCTGGCACTCAACTCCTAACCAATCAAGCTATCCCTTTACTTCACCACTTTTATCTTTTCCACATCCCATTTCACTTTCTGGGTGAGGATTTTCAATGTCCCATGACGCATCCAAAATCATCTTGCATGAATGCTCCTATGAAAGTTAGTGTGATTTTGAAATAGTTTGTGTCTAGGGAGTGTCTAAAAAAACAAACCTCAAGTGATCTAACTCTCTCTCACACTTAGAATTTGTGGTTCCCCCACTCTAAACTCTCACACATGTATTACACATCCTAAAGGCTTCCTTCACACATTCCACAACCTTTGTTTTTGTTATGGGATAGAACCACAATAAAATCTAATGAATTTGTAGTGTGTTTTACAGTTGAGTTAAGCTAGAATTGAAGATTAAAAGAAAAGGAAAGAAAATGAAATGTGCAAAGAGCTGGAGTGGACCCATCTGAAAAAAGAAGCGAACAAGATTGATAATATTGAAATGGGAAGAACGACTTGTAGTATTTTGGCATATAAAAATGATGAAAGTCTTATTTTGATATATGAAATGTATTTTATTCCTAGTTTGATATTCCTCTATTATTATGAAATAAATATACTTGAATTATTTTTGTAAATGCCTGCCGTCTCCATTTAAACTATCAATTTTGGTTTATAATTTTTGACTGAAATTATTTTGGGACAGGGAGAACAATACATAGTATATTTTTTATTTGATAAATATTAAAATTTAGAAAGTAAATATCCTAGATGAAGCCGAACCATTGTCATACAAAAGGAAAAAGGGAAACACAATAAGGCTCTATTTGGTACACAAAATTTGGTTATGAAATTGAAATTAAAGACTTCAACATCAATTCTGTTGTTTGGAAGCAAAAAAATATGAAAATTTAGAATTGAATTCTAAATCCAAATCTTCAACTCTACATTTTAAATCACATAACACTGGAAAAGAATCGAAAATAAAAATTTTAATTCTATGGATCAAAATCAAATCACACATATCAATTCTAGGTTATAATAAATAAATGGATTTTAAAAATTTAAAACTAAAATCTAAAATTTAAATTTAAAGTATTAAGATTTAATATTTAAACTTTAATAGTTAAAACTTTAAATAAAAAATGTAAAATTTATTATTTAAAAATAAAATTTTAGAATTCTGAATTAGAAATTTAAAATATAAAATTTAAAATGAAAATTAAAATGTAATAGCCTGAAAGTCCTCCATCCAGCTCCTTTGTAGAAAATTCCCGAAGTACTCCGTTTGAGATTGTGGCAGTCTTCTCTCTAGAAAATTTCAGGAGCAATTACCCATCAGTGAAGAATCTTGTTGTCAGATTCCAATCAATAAAAATTGTGTTTGCCAAACACAAAGTAGTGTTTTCTTAAAAGTGCCTAATTGAATATGCGTTCGCTGAACACAACTTAGTTACTTTAATTAAACTTGTGTTCGGCAAACACAAGTTGTTTTTTAATTAAAAAATCAATATTTATTTCATATAGTTAAATATATGGTGTAATGGTTATACACTAAATGATATGGAGTAATTAATTATTGTGCAGTAGTTATATTATATTTTTACTCATTTTAAAAAAAGACTAGATAATAAAAATAATAATTAATTGATTGAAACTATAAATTGTATAGCATAACAAAATGTGTTTCAATAATAAAATAATTGTATTACTCTACAAATAATAAAAAATTAAATAAAATTTGCACAAAAAAGGACTAAAACATAAGTCATTTCTCAATGTAAGACTTAAACTTTTTTATTTTCTAAATAGGACTTAATAATATCTAGTGAGAAGAAAAATGTCTAGTAATGATGGACATACAACAACAACAACAACCCAGTTGGATCCCACAATAGTAGGGTCTGGGGAGGGTGTGTGTACGCAGACTTTGCCCCTACTCGGAAGTAGGGAGGCTGTTTCCAAGAGACCCCCGGCTCCACCTGCACAAAAATATGGAAGGGAACACAATATGATGGACATTTACTTGAAAAATGACTAATTGATAATGATCAAAGGTCCTACATTGGGAAATAAAAATATATTGTCCTATATTGGAAGTAGGGTATGGATGGGAAGCAGTGGCGGGGAAGACTTCATGGGGAGCAAAAATTCTTTTAATAAATAAACAAAATTCAGAATAGTAACTACCTTAATTGGCAAAGTACAACTAAACATATCTTTTATTTGTGTAAAGGAGTAAGAGTTGTTTGAGGCCGTAGAATTTTTTTTCGAGATGCCAACTTTTGAAAGCACTGCATAATAACTTCATCATCAATAGCCTTGCCATTCATCAATAGTCTTTTTTGATCTTATATTATGTTGGTATTAATTTGAGGGCTAACAATATAATTTCATAATGATAATATATCCTTGTTGTCATACATAGTTTCAAAGACTGTTCCTGGTGTGTCATTTGTGAATTACAATCGCTTTCTACTAACACCATAGTCTACAAATGTGGTCTTTCGTCGGAATCCTAGCCCACAAGCATAGTCATTATTTTTATGTTATTCATCTAACAAATATTGAAATACGTCACTGGACATAGGGTCAACGTCAAATTATATTTTCAGCTTGTAATTTAACACCAACATGACGGAAGATCAAATAAGGATCATTTATAGAAAAACACTCATAAAATAACTACGGGGGTAATATTTGATGATAGAGGACTAAATATGGAAGTCTCCTTGTTATAAAGAAACAATTATGGAATTACTCTTTTATATATTTGTGAAAACAAGGAAAAATGAAATAAAAGCGTGAAACTTCTTAATAGAGAAAAAAAGTGGCATAAATATCATTTAAACTCTAAAAATAGGTTAGGAGTAAATCAAAATGAAAATAATTTCAATAAATCTCGTAAACTAGAATGAAATGAAAAAAAGAAAAAAAACAAAATGAGCAAGCTAAAAAAACAATAGGTTCTAAAAAAAGAAAAAAAGGAGCAAAGCCTAAGAAATAAACATAAAAATAACATAGCCAAAGCAGTAGATGAATGTGGTAGTGGAAGGTTTTAGAGCATGCGCAGCGGCGAGGCATTTCCTCGCTCGCTGCGCCACATTAGCTCCCTCGCCACTTTTGCCTCGCGTGGCTCAGCCTCCCTCCATGCCAAGCGTGTGAGGCGCGAGGCATCCTCAATTTTTTTTTATTTTTTTTATTTTTTAGAAAAATAATTTTTTTTAAAAAAAGAGTACATCTATATAAAAAAGATAAATGAAATAATTTTTAATAATTAAAATGCTTTAAAAAATCATAAAAATTGACAAAAACAATGACTTGCCACTGTACGAGATGCCTCTCCACTCACTTGCCCCATGCTGACTGGATTGTCTTTTATTGGTTGAAATGTGCCACGTCAACGTGTGACATTCCATTTCGTTACTTGCCATTGCCCGTGCTCTTAATGTACATTGTGTTCGCTGAACACAATTTTAAATAAATAGACAATAGTGTGTTTGGGGAACACCCGAGTTACACTAAGGCCCTGTTTGATACACGGAATTTAAACTATGGAATTGGAATTGAGGACTTCAATTCCAATTCTGGTGTTTGGTAGCACAAAAATTGTGTGGATTTGAAATTGATAGTGCAAAAAATGAATTGGAATTGGTGAATTCAATTCCATGGAATTGAATTCCATGGAATTTCAATTCCAATTCAATTTCAATTCTATCAATTCTGTATACCAAACGGACCCTACACAGAATTGGTTTGGATTTTTTGGAATTTCTACTGTACCTTTTTTACTGATTGGGAAAGCACCCAAAATTTCAGGCATAGCCTGTGAAACAGAGCTTAATAAGTTCATATTCAACTCATAAAGAGAGGCACTGCAGGTCTGCAATAATTTTCTCTTTCTATGAAGTTTCCTATTTTGGCTTCTGGTAGCAAGTCAATTCGAGACGCTTCCTTCCATGAGAGAGATACAGTAATTTGTAGACATACAATATACAAACACCCATACACCCAACACCTTTCTCGATCTTATTTTAAAATTGTACACTTTGGAGCTGGATCAAAGTCAATTTCGATCACAATTTTGTTCTGCGAATTTTAGCGGAAGAGGGATAGCTTAGATTTGGGTTCTTACCTCTATATACTGTCTACGAACACACATGGTTTTCAAGATTTTCGGCTGAGTTTTGGTGAGGGGATAACCTGTGTATTTGCGTACACGCTCAGATCATATCATTACGCCTATGGTCTAGGAAGGTGCACATATAGTTTGGGAGTAAAAATGGTTAGTGGAAAGTTGTTTCACTGTAGAAGGAACTCATGGCCTCCTGAAGAATACATCAATCGTACAACTTTACAACTTGTAAGCCATCCTCCCTCGTTTATTTTTATTTTTAATATTCATGACTTTTTATTTATGATAGAATTCTTATAAGTTCCATTGGTTAAACTTTGTCACTTTCTGAGCCCCCCCCTTCTCCTCTGACCTCTCATGCTCGCTCTGGTGAGACGCTGATCATTTATGTGTTGTGTGTATTCATAAAAATATATGCTAGTATTTTGCAGTCTTAGAGCATTTATTTCAGCTCGGCCAACTGTGCTCCTATGTTTCAGGGAACGTGATTTCATAAAAATGGAGAATAGTCTTATTTTAAACATAGTGAATTGAACTTAAATAAAAAGAATCCTGAACATGGACACTGTAAGTGCATTCAATTTATTAGTGGAATCAAATGAGATTGAAATTCGTGTTTTGCAAATGAAATAGAGAATGTTTCATCACAATTGTGGTGTATTTGATTTTCCACATAGAATTGATTGGAAGTTTATAAAAAAAGAAATAAAGTGACTAAAATAAATAATGCCTAGTTAACACTCACTTGCACCCATACAATAGTTTTTTTATTAAATAATCCCTCTACTTCTTTTGCCTTTGCCCATTTCGATGTACGATGTTATTTAGGAAATTAGTGTAAATAACTAAAAATTAATAATGTCTTTAAGACCTATATCAGAAGTTCTACGTATGAAGTGGGATGACTATATACTTTTTTAAAATAAGCACGGAAACTAGGCAAATAAATACGGAGTATGATAAAGTTTGACCTTGTGAATAGTTAATGATCCAAATAGAAAGAAATGGAGGGAGTACATAATTTGGTACTGTAATTTTCTGTCTAGGAAGCCTAGTACCTTGACTACCTTCTGTCATTCTCCATTGCCTTTTTTGGCTTATTCTGTGATTCTTAATGAAAAACAAGATAATGAAATGGACTATTTATCAAGCTGGGCTGGTTTTGTCAAATTAAATCAAAAAATTTAGAAAGAGTTAATTAAGAAAAGTAAAATGTTATTAGAGTTCAAATTTGGAAAATGAAAACTATTTTTTGGATGGGCTAAAAGCACAGTAGGACCCATAAAAGCCTAAAAGGTGATTTAGGGAGTATTTCCATAAAAATACTAAAAAAGGTGAATTATTCTCTAATAAGATGTTTGTTAAGGATGACCAGGAGTGCCTAGTGCCTAGGGGGTGTAGCTGGTCAAGCGCCTAATGGAAGGCAATTTTGAAGTGTTAGCTTTTCTGCCTAGGGGTGCCTAGGGCCTAGTTTGTCGCTTATACCGATTAATTCGAGACTGATTCAATTTGGCCTTTCTTCCATTTAGTCAAAGTGATGGCATTTTGATTTGGTACTAAGTGTTATTAATGATTGAACATTGAAGGATTTGATTAAGCTTTCATTATATTCTTTTTGTTGTTTTATTTTTTCTTGGATTAAAAGATAAAAAGCAATTCTTATTTTATTTGGTTTAGTTTGGTATAGATACTAACAGTGATTCTATCTTTGGTCTTTTTTTTTGGTTTAGTTTGATTCAGACAGTGCTTCTCCACCATCTCAAGCCTGGAGAAGGAAATTAAACACTCATGCCAGCATTCTTAAAGAATTTAGTGTTACATTTACAGAAGCAATAAAAGTGGTACGTATTTTTTCTTTTATAGGATCATTATCAATTACAGAATCTGTTTATATAAACCATGAATCAATTATCCATGTGCTCACCATTCTTTGTCTTTTTTTCTGATTTCTCTCCCTGTTTGTAGATTCGTCTTGGCATACGTTTGTGGTCATATGTAAGAGAAGAGGCCTCCCATGGAAGGGTAACTCTCACCTTTAGCTACACTTCTGTTAATATTATCATTTGAATTGAAGGAGTGGACAAAGCTCTCTTGTACTTGTTAAGTGAATTTGTGCATCATTCCCTGCTTTGGACTTTTGAGGGCTCAACTTTAATTTTCTTTGTTCAGAAAGCACCAATTGATCCTTTTACTCGAGAACGTTGCCGGCCATCAGCTTCCCTGGGTGTTCCACTTGGAGGCATGGGGTAAGAAGATGAACAATAAAATAACATTATCAATTAGGCAAAGAAAAATAAAGTACATGTGATGATGGTTCAAATATAAAATACAGGAGTGGAAGCATATCGAGAGGTTTTAGAGGCGAGTTTAGGCATTTTCAAATTCTTCCTGCAACATGTGAGACTTCTCCGGTCATGGCCAATCAATTTTCAGTAAAGCCCTACTTTGATTCTTTCCAACTTTCAATATATCCTGTTATCTGTTATGAAGTAGATATTACTTGTTCACGTTTGGCACCCATACATAATGGCATAAAGCATAGAGCATGATCTATATATGCAAAGTACTTGTGTAACATAGTGATGGTTGTTATTAACTCTTGGAGGGCTGTAAAATTTAATGATTTTCCTGAAATCACCTTTCATAACACATGACACATTCTCTCATGATGTGGTCTTTTCCTAGTTCAGGCTTCTAATTATTATATAAGCAGAGAACACATTCTCTCATGACCTATCTATGTTCTTTTCGTAGTTTAGACCTCTAGTTATTAAATAAGTTTTCATCATACATTTATTACATTCAGAAGAATTCTTAATAAACGTAAGTAATCCTATTCCCAAAGTGATTTTGGAGTTATATATAATGCACAATTGGCCAAGTTGCACAAACAACGACAACAACAACTAGTCCAGTATCATCCCAACTTCATTGCGGTCTAGGGGGTCAAGGTATACGCAACAAAGATGTCTTTTCCATTAGACTGTTGACGCATTGCTGCACTTCTCAATACTTCATAGAAACTACTTAGAAAGTATGAAATATAGAAATTGTAAATGTGTCATTTTGATTTAGTCCATTATTTAACTCAAGCATAACAATATAAAAAATGACTCGTTTAGCTCCATTGGCAATGGGCGAAAGGCCATGTTACACAAGCAAAGGATGTAATTTGTTTTCTTGAGTTCTAAAAAAACATAATGATACACCAAATTCATCCTCTATCATTATGCTTCATAAATGATTATTTTTGAAAGCAAACAGGACAGTACTTATTAGGGGCAATTAATTAAAAACAACAATAGATACTTAATAGGAAACAAACAGTGCCACATAAGATCGACCATTGACCTTTAAAAAGGTGTCTTATAATAGGGAATGGAGGGAGTACAAGTTACCCAATATACGGAACTATCTATTACTTTTAGTAATCCTTTCCATATCTGGGCAATTGAGGTTGGATTTGGGATTAGCAGGTGAGGTTGGAATTGGTGGCTCTAAGCCCCTGTGAGGATATGTGTAAGCATGACCTCTGATAAGAGTTATGTATTAAGTTTGTAGAAACTTTGTGGCGGTGGATCGTTTGTGCTATTGGCGATTGGACCTTCTCAGCTCATTGTTGTTTGGTTTTATTGGGTAGATGTTAGCATCCTCTTTGTTTATTACTCCACGTTTTTTATGGCTTTACACTGCTCACACTACTTCTCATTGAATGTCAAGAGTCGCAAAACATCCTAAATACTCTTAGAGAATTGTGTGTGCATAATTCCCCCCTCCCCTCCAATGACCATACTTCCAACTGGAATACACTAGGAATATTTGGTTTGGGGACAATCATAACAATATATATTTCTATCTGCTAAGGGTTAGAAAAAGAATACTCTGCCATTTTAACCCCTATCATGGCGCTTTTTGTTCATGTTTGGAATGCTCTATGATAATAAGGAACGTCATGAGAGTAGTTTGTGGTACTTTTGTAGAGATACTGTGAGGAGTGTTACTCTCTTTCACTCGGTTATAACATCTATTAGTATGCCAGATTTTCATATCTCGAGATGGAGGAAACAAGAAGTATGCATCAGTTCTATCACCAGGCCGCCACGAAGGATTAGGGTAAGCAACTAACTAATACAGTAGATGTTTTTTCATCGAAACTACCCTAGATTGTTCACTCTGTGAATTGCCTTAATTAGTCACGAAGAGTGAGTTTAGTAATAGGGTATAGGATAGAAGAGGTATACTAAAGGATACATGGAAAGTAATCGTTTTGCAAGGGTTTATAATGTACGTAGTATTACTCTTTCAAAAACCTGAAAGTAGAAATAGAATTCTAAAATTTGATCTTAATATCCAACAACAGCTATTCTTAGTGATGATAATAATAGTAATAATAATAATAATAAATAATTAAGAAATAATATTATTATAAAATTACACAATAAAATTAAGAAGTCAATGTCATGCACTCATTAGTTTCAAAAAAAGAATCCAAGAAAATTCCTGCCACTAATTTCTTTATTTGTGAGAGTAGGAAAGCAAGTTCCACTTCTCCTGCTAAGAATGGAATATTTGACAGAAAAGAAGAACTCTAAAACACACCACCACAACTTCAAATTTTCATGACCAGAAAAAAGAAGAATGCAAGAGAAAGAAGGCAGGAACCAGAAGAAAGAAGAAAAATCCTACTTTAGCACCATATTCTCCATACCAACAAGTCCCTTTAGTCTCATTGACTAAGCCCTAATGCTTCCACATCAATCTCATCTTCTTTGAGAGGATTTGCCCTCAAATCTTCACCATCCAAGTCGGGTGATAAATCACGTACATTGAATGTCCGAGACACTTCATAATTTCAAGCTTGTACGAACTAGAGCAAACTCAAGCTTGTAAGCACTAGGGCCAATTCTCTCAAGCACCACGTAGGGACCCTGCCCTAGACATGAGCTTGTTCTTTCCATAGCATGAAAACCTCTCTTTCACCAGATGGATCCATACAAGTTCCTCACATTGAGTTCCAATTCTCTTCTATTTTTGTTGGTGTTTGTCCCGTACATTTTATTAATCTTTTCAATCCCTTAATCGGAATGCGATGCAAATGCTATGTGGTTGCGATGGGTGAGTGGACCGACGAGACTGGATAGGATTCGGAATCATGTTATCTGAGGACGGGTTGGAGTGCCACCCATTGAGGATAAGTTACGGGAAGCTAGGTTGAGGTGGTTAGGGCATGTTCGGTGGCGGAGTGGTGAGGCCTCAGAGCGGAGATGTGAGATGCTTAAGATGGTGGCAGGAATAGGGGACGGGGTAGACCTAGGAAGAACTGAAATGAGGTGATTAGTTGGGACCTTTAAGTAGGAGCATTTGGAGAGCGAGGACTAGGGTAGTTGGGTAGGCTTTTGGGCTTGGTGGTTGTTTTTACTCTTGTCGTCTCTGCCTCCTTTGCTTGGTGTTTTCTGTTTTCTACTTTTGCTTGTTGCTCTTTCCCTTCATTAACGCTAGTGTACTCTTTGCTACTTTTTTTCCGAGCTGTGTGCTTTATTTGCCTTACATGCTCAGTATGTGCCAATATGTTGCATGTGTTACTCAAGCTGGGGTCTCTTGGAAATAGCCTCTCTACTTTCAAGTAGGGGTAAGGTTTGCACACACACACACCCTCCCCAGGGCCCAGACCCTACTTTTGCAGGATCATACTGGGCTGTTGGCGACCCTTACTTGATCATGAAGCTTCCTCATGCTCTCTGTTCTCTCTTTAGCTTCAAAAGAAACCACCTCCTCTTTTGGAATTGCAATCAAACCAATATGTCGAGAGGATTATGTCCATTCACTACTTCAAATGGAGAATGACCACTACATAGTTTTGAAAGGCGAGTACCTCCCTCGCCTAAGGCGCCTCAGGCGTTCGGGCGACCTTATACTGCCTCAGGCGTTCGAGGGGCTATCCGCCTTTCTCGCCTTACCGGCTATGAGCCTTTTAAAAAATGAGCTGGCATTTTTAAATACATTTCTATATGTTAAATAGTCGTTTTTTTGAGAAACATATGTAATAACTACTCTAATTGTTTTGTTTAACATGTATGACTTGCTTGGGATTTACATTATTAATGGCACTGCACTATTTATTTTATGTATGTGTGTGTATGCCCCAAGTTTGCCTTTTGGCCGCCCGCCTCTCGTCTCTCGCCTTTCAAAACTATGGACCACTAGCATATGTAGGTGACCTATAAGAGTCAAATCCCAATCTTTGCATGTCTTGCTAAATTTCTAATCAGCCCCTTCTTTAATGCAATCAGTTATAGGAGCAACAATTGATGCAATGTTGTGAATGAACCTCACACAGGAAGAAGCCAAACCTTTAAAAGGCTTTAGCTTCTTGGCAGTTTAAGGTTGAGGTTAGCTTGTCACATCTTCAATCTTAGGTTGGTACACACTCATACCCCATTTGCTTGCTTCCATAGCTATTTCAGAATCGCTTTGATTAGCACCAAGCTCTCTAAAAGTAGATATTCTTCTTCCCATCATGCGGACTCCTCTATCAAACATCCATAGTTTCCCTAGAATGATATGACAAACATCATCCATGGGAATGACATCACACAGCCCCTCTTCTTTGAACTGATTGCGAATGGAGAAATTCATCATTCACCTCTTGGTTACTGTTGAAATGTCTTATATCCGTTGCTACACTGAGCAATTGGGTTATTCTGTTGTAATGGGCTTGACTCGTTTTCTGTTTTCTGTCTGGGCTCAGCCCACATTCCTTCTTTGTTATGGGCTTGGCCCTTTTGTATATAAACACATATGTAACCCTAATTGTTCATAATCTGACAAAGGTTCAAAGTACACATGCTCAAGAGGGCACAACGACACAGGTTCAAACTTGAATTTGAAATATATTTGAAAATTTGCAGTGAAGTTCTAATTTCTTTAAAAGTTAAAAGTTTTCATGTCAATAATACACTTAAAGGTCTTTTAGCTCTCTACAAAGTAGTGATAAAAAAAAGTGAATGCCTTCCTACTCTCAAAACTGAAGTAATGAGTGGAAATAAGATACCGTTTCACGTAGACATCATTTATTTAATCATACAGGAAGCATAATGATCATGGCATTTCTTCATGGGGCTGGAACCTGAGTGGCCAGCACTCCACTTATCATGCATTGTTTCCTAGGACTTGGACCATCTACGATGGTACGTCTCTGATATGTGCTTTTCTGCTAAATAAAAGGATTGGTGCAAATTTTCCAATTATTGTAATGTTATCAGTTGATCTTCACCTATTGATCCAGGTGAACCCGATCCTGAACTTAAAGTGTCTTGTCGGCAGATTTCCCCGTTTATTCCGCATAATTACAGAGAGAGCAGTCTTCCTACAGCTGTTTTCGTATATACCGTATGGATAATTAACATTTTATATTAATTGTTTGAGAATGCTTCATTTTTTCTCTGAATAAGATATAAGCAACAAACTGATGGTTTCCTCATTCTGTCATGCATGTAGATTATTTGGCACCTCATTATCATGGTAATGGACTAATGGGTAAATTCCACCACTGTTAATAGTCTAGTTAATGATATGATCCTTAAAATCAAATATGATATTAGCAAAAACTGTCTTACAGAAGGGCTACAACAACCAACCCAGTAGAATATCATAGATGGCGTCTGGGGTGGGTGTACGTAGATCTTACCCCTGCCTAGAAAAGGTAGATAGGCTATATTATAAAGACTTACAGGACTTGCAACTGTATCATATTATCATGTTATTGCTCTAATTCTCTGACAGTTATTATTCATGTGTTTCTTATATTGTGATCATTGTTTTCATTGTAGTTGGTGAACACAGGGAAGGAAAGGGCTAAAGTCAGCCTCCTTTTTACATGGGCAGTAAGTGTGTCCTCCCTATGTGGCTTCATTGCTATGAACAACGGGTGCTTCAAAAAACAGCCACACGACCCCGGGTGCGGGTGCGGCGGTGCGGCTGGTCGGGATGCGGGTGGTTAGTTTTATATTGTTTTTTAACCTTGGGTGCGGCTAGGTACTTTTGAGACATTTATGTGGTTTGTGTTTGATTTATTTAAAATTTGACAGTTGTTATATCTTGTGAATATTTTGATAATAAATACATGTATCTTACAAAGAAATGAATAATACAAATAATAAATGTATAAATAAATTTGCCGCACCCATTCTGCACCCACACCCTGTTTTTTTTCTTCAAAATTTCCGCACTCACGCACCAGTCGTGCACCCGCACCAGTCGACGCACCCGCATTTGTGCTTCATAGCTTCATTGTGATTTAGTCTCTGATGATATCAGCTGCACTACATTCAGTCCTGTTTCTTTTGTACAGAACTCAATTGGTGGTGCGTCACACCTGTCAGGAGATCACATTAATGAACCATTTTTGTGAGTTCTATTTGCACATTCCTTGCGTGTGTTACCAAATATCTCATTTGGTTTTGTTTCTGAAATTTTCTTTCTACTGGATTACAGAGGTGAAGATGGAGTCTCTGGTGTACTTCTACATCACAAGCAAGTTTCTAACCTTACTAGCTATATGATAATTGGTTGCTTATATCATTAGCTTTTGTTTAGTTTTCTTGTTGCCTTGTTGAAGAAAGTGGATGCAAGCTATATATACTGATGGTAATTAGCCGAACAACTATGGCGACGAAAAACGAATAATAACGATAGTTAATCAATCTTGATGGTTTTCTATTAGTTTGTGTATATCAGTGTTTTCACTTGGTTTACAATGGACGGTTCTCCCTCTATTTATACTTTATTACAATTACAAACATAATGGGCACTCATCGTGTGCATAAACCTCGCCATTATCCCTCGCACGTTGATCGTGGTGTTTCACCATCTCAACCCCGATCTTCTCACGACTTGGTGCTGTACAGTCTCCCTTCGTTTGGCCTGTTTGTTAAGAACAAAAGCACACACACACGAATAGAAAGCAAGAAAGCAATAAAGAACACGAGATTTAACGTGGTTCGGTCTAATCTGACCTACATCCACAGGGGCAACTAGGGTTTGTATTATTGAGTGATGATGATTACAAGTACAGGAGATCATATATATAGACAACTAATTAGGGTTTAACCCTTGCTGGACAAGTTATAGCAAACTGGGCTTAAAACCATTTGGGCCGGCCGAAACCCTAATCTGGTCTCCTAACTCTCAGTTGTCTACAAGTTGGCCACTTTGGGCCGATGACTACACATCACCAACAATCTCCCACTTGGAGTCTTTGGACCAAACTGCGGCTTCTCTCTGTACTTCTGTAAATGAAAGATCCTCCTTGATCTTCACATCTCCCTAGTTGCCCCTCTCCTCAACACTATTCCAGGAGACCAGCTGAAGCTATGCAAAGCTTCAGCTTATCCAGCACCACTGTCTTGGTGAGCATATCTGCTGGATTCTTAGCACTTGAGATGTTCTTCAACTTGATTGTTCTATTACTGATCAATCCTCTCACAAAGTGATACCTCATCCCGATGTGCTTCGTCTTGCCATGATAAACTGGATTTTTAGCAAGTTTCACCGCACTCTCATTGTCACAGTACAATAAGTAATCAGACTGCTGTTTGCCCAACTCTTTAAGAAAAGTCTTCAACCAAACTAGTTCTTTACTGGCCTCTGCAATTGCCATATACTCAGCCTCTGTCATAGATAACGCCACACTTTTCTGAAGTCTAGACATCCAGCTCACTGCTGTTCCTCCCACTGTAAATACATACCCTGTAGTGCTCTTAAATGTGTCTCTGCAACCACCCAAATCAGCATCTGTAAAACCTTTGAGAATAGCATCCTTCCCTCTGAAACATAAACCCATTTTCTGGGTTCCCTTCAAATATCTAAGTATCCATTTGACAGCTTCCCAATGTTCTCTACCCGGATCTGACATAAATCGACTAACAACGCCAACGGCATGAGCAATATCTGGTCGAGTGCAAACCATGGCATACATGAGGCTCCCAACCGCTGATGCATAAGGAACTTTAGCCATTTCTGATCTTTCTTCTTCAGATTTAGGTGATTGTTCTTTGGTCAGCTTCAAATGACTTCCCAGTGGGGTACTTCTAGGCTTGGTCTTCCCGTCATTCATCTTGAATCTCTCTAACACCTTCCC